GCACAAAAATTGTGTGGTTTGCTCTGCTGACACGTCTAACTATTTACATCCCCAGAGTAGCTTGGAGTCATCCATTTCTCAGCTCATTTAGCAGATTTTACATGGACTTCTTTCACCTCAATTAATATTACCTAAAACATTACAAATCATGAAATACTTTCACATTAAAGAGAAAACAAATATTAGAAATATTTCCAACCAACCTGAATCCAACAGCTATCACTTTCACATTTTAGTATGAAACACTACACTCTCTTCAGATCATTTCACATTTTGCAAACAGAAAATGTGCTTCATTGAGTCTATTTTGCCTTTGCACATTATTATAGGCAAAGGTTTTACAAGCTTTTCTCTAAGAATTTGAATACAGAGGAGCATTGTGTTTTCAAGCCAGGTATTAATATTACAGCATAGATTTTTTAACAACTGTAAGAATGAGAAACTTACATATACTGACCAATTTGTGTTTTTAAAAAATAAGAACTACAAGAGATGTTAATAGGTAGTAAAATAGCTTGTTTTCAAATATGATAGGCTTGAATTACACATTTCAAACCTGACTCAGGATATTACCCTACCTGTGACAACATACAGGAGTGTCAGCAGGTTGTTCCAGCACAGTGCACTGGTCTCCCACTTGTCACAAATACACCCTTTTCCTCTTCCCAAAAGATAAAACATACACAACAGTTTCTCCTTAATTTCAGTCATGCAGCTTGAGCTGGTGTTGCTTTTTAGGTGTCACTTTTCAGTCACTCGTGATTGTCTTAACCTAAAATACAGCAGAGATAGAGGACAAAAACGTGCTCTGTACTTGCAGTGGACATAAGGCACATTTGAGGCTGTTTGTCATGTGCTCCTGCTGGAGTTCATTCCACTCTTGTGACAAGTAAACCTGCCTCCCACAGGCTTTCATTGTGGCAACTTCCACTGCACCACACGAAGTCATTAATAAAAACACTGGAATTGCATGTTGGTTCACATCCATTTGCAAATCTCCAATGGTGATCTGAAAGCTATTTTCCCAGTGTCCCCCAGTGGAAAATTCACTCGGGGACCTCTGGAATGGTATCTGACAGAACCCAGATTTCTCCACCCCAAGGGTCTAGAAGGCAAGTAGTAAGTGCTCAGTATCAGCTAAAATACATGTTCACTCTGAAGTTCAAATTCATCCTTTGTCCAAATCAGGATTTAGAAGCTTGGGAACACCAGACAAAACACCACCAAAAACCCGACTAGCTCTGAGTGCAAGAGAATGAGGAGCCCACTGCTCACAAGCCTCTCTTCCCAAAAGGCAGCTACCTAAGAGAAGCAACACTGCGACGGCGGGGAATGCTAATTCTGGGCTGGTTTATTATCTGCTTGAAGTCATGAAATAAGCCAGGGTGACATTTCATCCCTGAGGTTTAAGGTTCATTCTCAAATCCAACAGTAATGAAGCTCAGGGATACCGCAAATTCAGACTGACAGATTTCACAGAGCTTACCCCAAAATTAATAAATGCCTTAGTGGTATTATTTTCTTTCTTTTTAATTAAATGATTTCCAGATAGAGTAGACAGGAGTATTAAAATTAAAGGATACACCAAATCTTATTACTAGTTTTGCTGTTCTGCAATTCCAGTGGGAATTTTACCATTTCTAGATGCTGTCTATATTTCTGCCTCATTTTTGTCTTGTTCTGAGGCAAAGTTGATGCCAATTCCAGAAGATGTGAAAAATGCTACACAGAACTAACTTCACCTGCAATTCCTATTTCAAAGCATCTCTTTGAAAGCAGAGTTGATATTCTCGAAACATATGCATCACTGCATATCTACCTTGCCTGACAGTTTAAGTGAGACATTTAAATAGTCTGTCTTGATTGCAGTATTCCACATTTCACCTAAGTCCCACAAAGTTCTTTGCTGTCAACATTTTCCTCCTATATCACACAGCACCTATCACGACACGTTCTAAAACCTAAGGAACATCCACAGAGTAGAAACACTAGGTATGTCTACGGCAAAAGTCAGATGAATTGCTAAAACGAGAAAGAGATCCAAAGCACTGCTGGGGTATCGCTTTGCAACATTATCTCTTGCCAAAGGCAGGTTTTTGGGGAACAGAGAAAGAAAGAAAAGAAAAAAGGTCCTGTATCAATGCTCAAAACTATGAGTACAAGAGCTGCACATACATCAAAACTAAAGAAAAGCAAATAGCCCTAAGGTTTAAAAATAGAGCCTGATTTAAAACAAAAATGAAAAGCAGAAAGCTGACTTCCGTAAAAAATTAAAATTGACTAACAACTTGTCGTAACTACTCCAGAATTAGACTATACAGTTCCTCTCCTGCACCTGAGAGCAGGTATGTGCCCTCGGATCATGCGCTCCATCTAGACCAGCATTCAGGCTCAACAATGATGCTCCAGAGCACCCCGGAAGCAGCCAAGCTTCCAGTCTGCAGCTCCAGGACTTCGCGAGAACTGAGCACTCACCCTAGGTACCACACTGAGAACAGAGCAGCCACTTGCTCTCCAATTCTCCCCACCATTTATGACGTTACTGACTTCTTTTATAGAGCCCATCCTTCAGTTCCCTTTTTTTCCAGAGTGAGGAATCCACACATATGATCCTTTCACATGAAAGTCATACAAACCTGTGCTTCCCTTCTCTGAACTTTTCAAGTCCATTATTGCTTTCCTAAGACAGAAAGACCCAAACCACACACTGCTGGAGGCACAGCTGTGCTGTACATTATGATATTCCCTGGCAGAGAGCTTACACAGAAATCACAGCGGCTGCTATCATGCTCAAAAGCATGAGATGAAAAGCCTCAGCACAGATCTGAACCCAGCTACGAAATCATGAGTGAGGCTTTAAGTTCTAAAATGTGATCATATAGACTGACCTGATGAAGCCTGAAGGTTGCTCACTTGAGCTAGCTGGCTGCCCACGCCACATCTCTTACTAGGACCATAAGACCTTTGTCCCACCAAGTAAAAGCTTATGATCTTTCTGTTACAGCACTCTTGCAACACAATGCCATTTTACACTCACCTACCAGAAACTTATATTTTTAAAAATAAAATAATAATATGTGCTCAAGGATTTCACATCTTTCCTGAGATTTTACTTAAACCAAAAGCTTAAAAACTAAAGTCTGTATACAAATAACATTTCATTCCCCCATCAAATAAATGTCCACTTTGACCACCTCTAAGGCAAAATGAGCTCCTTGCTACTTTGAAGGTGGGATCTTCCCAGTACTTTTCACATTTAAGAACAAAATCTATCTTTCTGTTATTTAACATCTCAGAATCCTACCATTTTTAAAATAAAACAGTTGTTTCCTCTTCTGTGCTACCTATTTTGACATCAAAAGGAATTAGAGAGAAGTACTGAAAGTGCCATCTAGCATTACTGGGCAAGGTGCAGAAGCCGCAAAGGGAGAGAGTACTCTTTAAAGCAACTGATGTACTAGACCGGCTTTCCACGCCCCTTAAAAGGAGTGGGGACCTCTCCAGCTCTACTTTAAGCTACCTGGTTAAGACATAGAACAGTTCCTTTTCAGTTGTGTGATACGGGATATTTTAACTTATTTCATTTTACAGTTTATAAAACAAAAATATCATTTCTTCATTCTCTTCTCCTAAAAAAATGCTATAGATTGAAAACCTGAGCTCCACAACAAACCTTCAGATCTTTAGGAATGAAGAGATAGAGAAGCATGATTTTAGCAGAATTACTGAGGACGGCATGAAAGCTGACAACAGCATCTTCTTAACAACAAGATTTTATTAAGTTTACAAAATTTAAATGTAATGTAATTTTTAACTGACATTTATAGAGCTCTTCCTCAAGACCAAAAATATTGCCCAAGAGCCTGTGTTATGAGGTCTTAGGGGAGCACAGATTTTATTTACTTATTTAAGAACCACAAAACTGCGTACCTTATTATGAAATTGCCACATTTATTTATATTGGAATTTGATAGGACAATGGAGCACCTACTCAGAGTGCCAAGTTACGATTCACTAAGCAGAGTCAAGGTTAGACCCAGATGCCAATAAAGATTCATTAAGTATAAAATACAATATCAGCAGTGTCTTTGTAATGACCTGAACACTAATTTTGGCTGAGAGTGCTAGAATTCCCCAATGAAAAAAAGGCAAAAGGGAACAATTTAACAGCTTTTAACCACAAACGTGGTAAGATGTAAAACATTTGAAAAGATACTGGGAGCCATGTAAAGGGATATACAACATTGCAACTTAACAGTGTTTACCTGTACTTTTCTTTGTTCCAGTGCAAAGAATTATTAATTTTTAATATTATTTAATATTATTATGATTACTGCACCAAAATGATGCACTTAAATTATTTGCATAATTTCATTCATTTATGCCACACCAGAAGACTAAAATAGTTAGCTAACACAATAAGACCTAGAGAAAAGAAATAAAATTCATGCATAATATTTCTGTTTTCAACTCTTCACAAACAAATAGCATGAGAAATAATTAACTAGCAGAAAAGGAAAGCTGGATCTTTCAAAACAAGGAAAATTGTGTGGGAAGAAATACTGAAGTTAATATTCCCTTTTCAAAAGGAAAAGGAAATAAAACAACAAAAAGAAAGCTTACAAAGTTAGTGGATTAATAACTTTTTGGTTTTCTTAAATTTTATATGCTTTTTACATGCCAGTAGGTTATACTTTGTTGTCTTCCAAGAAGCATTATAAGCAACCAACAGTCAAGTCAGACTGAAGGAAATTTCAGCTTCAATAAAATTTTATGTTCCTTTCCTTTAGATTGAAATTAAATTTTCAGCCCATTTTAGATAGCAGTGCAATTAATTTCTGGAGTAATAATTATTATATCACTTTCTCATTTCACTTTTTAAAGCATTAGTGCTTCAAAAACACAAATAAGGGTAAACCAAGTAACAGACATTTACAACAGATAACAAATGCACTTCTCCTCTAAAATACTTTCTGAAACCTAGACGCATTCCAAGTTACCCTTGAAGACTGGTCAAAGTCCTCTCTGAAATGGAGCTCATAATTTCTTACTGGACCAAGGTCCATATCGTCTAACTTGGTAAATATGTTGGCTTTGACAGACTGCACGCAGAGGTTTAACTAGGCTTTGATTATTGACAAATATTTGACAAATTATTCTTGACACCATACAAAGTTCATATCTAAATCCAGTCACATTTACAGTCTGCAAAATATTTTACATGATTTCAGGCAAAAAAAAAAAACCACTTTACCTGCCTTGGAAGATTTCTACTCCAACAAATTAAAATGAAACTAAAGCTTAGAGGTTATGATTTTTATTGCCCTCTTTATGCTGGACCTTTATATACCATGTAAGAAATACAATATATCATCTACATTTGCACCCGCAAGGATACCAGCCTTGTAAGATCTGCACAACCAGCATGGATTTGTCTTGTAGGGCAGTAGGGGTATGCACGTGGGGCTTCTACCACAGGACTGGCACTAAATTCTCCTTGAAGAAACACACCATGTTTATGGCTACTTATAAATTTTCTGAATTCCAGAAGAACATCGTAGAGTTTGTATTTACACAAGGAATACTGTGTATCTTCCTGAGTCTGTGCTCTACAACATAATCAAACTCATGTAAGATCAATTCTCTGTGACATGAAGCACTACGTTACACCACGATTCTCAACTTTGCTGCTGCTATATAAGACTTCATTTAATCAAGCATAATATGTAAAAGGATTCCAATTTTTAATTTGCGTCTGCTATTTTAGATTAAATATTTTATTTTTGTTACACAGAAAACCTAGAGCTTCCACTGACTATGCCCTGTATTCCCTGAGGAAATCCTCAGCAGGAGCAGCTGGAGTTCTGCATTTTGCAACTATATATCACAATGGTTCTCCTATAGTTTCCGTGCACTCTGATGAGATACTAGCAGTAAAAACATGTTATTGTGTCAGTCTGTAGGCATATATATGTTACAATAAAATGTTTTAAGAATATGTAATGTAGAAGCCACTCTTCTGTATTGCTTCTCGCTCTGGGCAGGGAAGTAAAAGCCGAAGATTCAGAACATGGTGATGTCTGACACCGTATCACACTGATTTCAGGTCAGAAAACAAGATAATGAATGAGAAGACAAAAGCCAGAAATGTGCAGCATTTTGTAAAGCAAAATACAATTTTTCCCTTAAAGATTATACCAGCCCCCAAAGAACTGCATTATAAGCTCAGCAAACTACTTGATCTTTCAAAAGCGCAGCATTGGTTTAATAACTTTTGAAGTACAGCTCTTCAAGCTGTTTACACCTCCAAACCTCTCTCCAGCAATGACAGTGAAGAAAAGAAGAAATATGACAAAAACTTTTATTTTTTTTGCTAAACCATCCCATCTTATGGCAATCAGTGTTTTATGTGCTTCTTGAGTTAAGGGCTGTCCATCAGTATATTAATTAGCCACCTATGGACTCATCTTTTATGAAAGTATCCAATTCCTTATTGAACTTCAGTCAAAAACAAAAATCAAGAGGTTAATGCTTCAATTTCTAAATCACAAGCATGGAATTATCTAACAGCAAATGGTAAATAACCACTCCCATATCTATAAAGATTCATAGTGACATTTAAATGAAAACTGCTTAATTCACAATCAAGGCAGTATGTCCATTTTTATATGTGAAAAATATTTGCATTAAAATAAGATAATTTAGTCTTAGACCTATCTCAAAAACCCCACAGTAGTAACATTTTTCAAGTGCAAAAATGTAAAACTCCATAAATATTACTAAACCTAACACAATTAAGATAAATACAAAATTAATGACTCTAGAATTACTAATTTACTGGCACATTTACAAAGTGCTAAATTACCATCTCAACACAAGATATGAGAAATTAGTGATTTTCCTGACAAAACTCAGTTTTTAAAATAAAAATTATGATATAAGCCAATCTTTTTTAATTACAGATTTTATTCTAGTCTGTTCAGTATGTGCAGAACAAAATCCCCTCATTGTGCTGGCTCCAAGGTGTACCAAAACCAAAAACCCCACCAATAAAACAAGATTAGGCACAAACTAGCAAATAAAGATGTTTACCAGTGTCCTCCTTTAATGTGTCTCCCATCTGTGCCAAAGATTTTAAATACTGTCTTGCCCTTACACGTAAGAATTAAACGGTCAACCTCAGATATCCCACTTGTTTTGACATGTATAAAAAGTTGTCCTGTAATCCTTTTGGGGAGGTTGTAGCATATAGCCCCTGCTATGATAAATCCAAGACCGGTGATACAAAGATACACGAAATCTCTAAGTGCATTTTTCTGCAGCATAGTTAACTTGTTCAAATCCAGCTCGTTTCTAAAACAAAGACTCACATGTACCAAATAGTTATTTCTGTTTTTGTCTGGCATATAACATTTTTGCTGCATTTTTTCATTGCTCTAAGATGACCCATCAGAAATACAGGGAACCAGATTTTTCTATAATGTAGTATTTCTGTAGTGCTTTGTGCTTCAATGATTGCTGCAATTTAACCTTTATAATAGAAAATAGATTCATCAATAAAACTTCAATTTATAGTATTAGTTTGGAACTGTTTATTTCTTCCATGAAACACTATTTTTGTTATGATTTACTTGAACAGTTTGTTTGTCCTCCTGGAGCACTTGCACAGCACTACCACAAGCAATCATCCAAGGGATGCTGCACTCCCTTGAAGGACAGAGAAACACGCTTGATCCAAGAATAAATAGTTGTATCTAGTTATATGGACAATAAGAAGTTAGAAAGTGTTCTCTGTAATTATTGTTTGTTCCCTTCAGTGTAACTAATTTTAAAACATACCAAAGTTAAAGTTGTATAATTACACGGTATTGAAATCAAGATGCTACCTGAAATGACTACACTGTTGTTCTTACTATTGCTACAGCACCAAATGACAAAATAACTAAGAAAGAACACACAAGCTATACAATATTATTCCTTCCAAACTTAAAATAGCACAAAACCAAAAACCACTCTGTTCTGAAGAGTTTCTTTACCCCCACCCTTACTGGAGGCTCACCAGACCGATGAGGGAACCTGTGTGCTCAAAAAGCACACTGTTGCATCCATCTAGACTGGGGGAAGGAGCACCATGGGTTCACTGCACAAAGCTCTAAATTATAAGTCTATTCAAAGAAGAAGATAAAAGTAACTACAGTGTCCAGGGAAAATGAGATCAACACTTATCTGTCAGGGCTAGGCCAGCTACTGAACACTAACGACGCGCTCCAACTCTTTCCTCTCCCCCAAAGGGTAAGGGAAAGGGAATAAGGCAGAGAGACTTACAGATTGGAAAAGAAAATTAAAATGGCTTTAATAAAAAATAATAGTACCAACGAGGAAACAATGAAAATAATTAAATCTATGCAAATATATACAAACATGATATCAAACACGACCTCCTGCCCCGACAGCAATCACCACTGATGCAGCAGAGCAGGCAGGCACCAGGATATCCCAGGCTCAGTGGCAGAAGCAATCAGATATGGGAACTGGATTTTGGGAATTCAGGATCGGAAACAATAGGGGAAGAATGGACAGAGCCCTCCTCGGATGACGGCCACGGAAAAAGCAGAAGAGCAAGACCCCAGGAGCCCTCGTGACACACACCACAGCTTTTCAAACTCAGTGTTACACAAGATCCAGCAGGGACCTTGGTCACTATAGGAGGTGGTATCAGCCCAAGCCTTTCTGCAACCCCTACGAGGAAAGGCTGAAGGAGCTGGGTCTCTTCAGTTTGGAGGAGGCTGAGGATCTCATAAATTTTTACACACATTTATGATCTCATAAATGTGTGTAAATACGTCAAGGGGGAGTATCAGGAGGACAGTGTCAGGCTGTTTTCAGTGACATCCAATGACATGACAAGGGGCAACGGGTACAAGCTGGAACATAGGATGTTCCACAAAAATATTAGGAAAAGCTTTTTCACTACAAGGGTGCCGGAGCCCTGGCACAGGCTGCGCAGGGAAGTTGTGGAGTCTCCTTCTTTGGAGACATTCAAACCCCGCCTGGACATGTTCCTGTGTGATCTACTGTAGGTGATCCTGCTCTGGCAGGGGGGCTGGACTAGATGATCTTTTGAGATCCCTTCCAACCCCTGACATTCTGTGATTCTGTGACCCCAGTCCCAGGCAGTAACTGTAAACATCAGGTGTTACCACTTCTAGGAGCAGAGACACGGTCTGCAAAAACTTGCTGCTAACTTCAGAAAGTGCAGTCTCCGAGAAGAGACTAAGATGAAAAGTAAAAATCACTGAAGTGAGTTGGTTCCATTTAGCTCAAACCAGAACAGGCAGAATAACTTTTGGACCAGTAAGTGTTAAAAATCCAAAAGGTGAGAGAGAAAAAAATCACGTACATTTGGAATACATAATCGGTAGTTAGAGTAACGAACTAAGCTGGAAGTATTTTAGATTAATTGGGCATCTTCCTACCTAATTACATTGAAGTCAAATAAACTGAAAAAAATGTGGGAGTGAAGAAGATAAATGAGGTATTTGCCCTCAGTTTTTTGCATAGGAGGGCCTTCTCTCACAAAGGTGCTCCAGGAGCAAGTTAGGCTGAGCTCCCAACTTTGGTCTAACACGATACCCGCTGGAAACTCTGTCACAAATAAAGAGAAGAGTGAAGAGTTAAAGCTCTTAAAAAATACTAATGAATTCTCTTTATAGCTCTTTTCATTGAAATGCTTTGGAGCACTTCAAAATGAAGAATCACACAGAGATGATAGTCTCTCTCCTACTCAAAACACTGATAAATGACCATTCATTAAACCCCTCCAAGAAAGCTATTAACGGGCTCCTCCTCACCGCTGCTCCTGGCTCCCTCACGCTCCACAGACCGAATCCGGCATCTCTCGTGTAGCAAGTAAAGGAGGAAACAGCTTGAAAACGCGCTCTCTGTGAATGCAGTTTATGCCAGACTGAGTCTTCTCTTTAAGATAATACCTTTTTCATTATCTAAACAGTAAACTGAATGTATGTAAGGTTTTGGAAGACAGGCTAATGTTACAGGAGCAGCAAGC